GGGGGGGTCGGCAAAAGAAGGGGGAGGGGAGAGGGGTTCGCCTGAGAACAATGGGAATGAGATGCTTGATGTTTTTCTAGGACGAGAGGAAGGGTATTAGACGACACATATTTCATGCACTGTTCAAAAAAACTAGCCACAACAGTCGCCATGGCGTGTCGTGGTTTAAGGCTTGTGTCTCACGCCACGTTAAGCCTATGAAACGCGATGACATAATGTGCGGTTTTTGTAACACACTATTTTATTTTTATTATATTTTTAATGTTTTATTTATTAGTTTCTAATGTAAAATCTAATCTTTATATATATAAAAGGAAAACCTCGAGGTATTAAAGTGGCACCATGAAAATTGAGTATTCTCAGATGGTGAGTTGTGGTTGAATTTTAGTTGTCCCACATTGACGAAGAGTTGTAAGTTTTGAACATAGTAGTGTGTATAGAAAAGGTGGATCGGAGTTGAGGGAGGAGGAAGATAGGGTGTCGACGATTGGGGTTAGAGATGGCCAAATGGGCCCGGCCTGAGACCGGCAAAGGACCGGGACCTACCAGACCCAGGACCGATTGGGACCGGTTTGGGACCGTCGGTTAAGAACCGATTATGGTTTTCATCAAAAAACAATGCCAGACCCGGGACCGGCCCGATTATTTTTCAAAAAAAAGTATTTTTATATGTATTACTAGCTAACTAAGTATATATGATTGAAAATCAAATTACAAAATCACAATAAAACATATCTTTTAAGTGTATTTGATTGAAAGTCAATTATAAAATTATAATAAAACATAAATTTAAGTGTATTTGATTGAAAACCAATTATAAAACTACAATGAAACATATTTTTTTAAGTGTATTTAATTGACTTAATTTGATATTTTAAAGTTTATTAAAATAACATTAAAGTATTTTAAAGAATTTATCAAAAAAAATTTAAAAAAATATAAAAAGAAAATGTTTTTTTTTAATACATGACCGGTTTAGGCCCAACCCAAAACAGGTTACCGTTTCAAATACTCAAAAATACTTATTATCGGTGACACACCAAAATAAATGAATAAATTGTTTTTTTATAAGCAAACACCCCTAAATTTGGTCCCCATATTTGTAGACCTGATTAAAAATTTCCTTTTTACAATTTAACCTCGTCATTTACGAATATGATAACAATTTGAAAATATTGGAACAAATGAAATGTAAATCGGAAAACCTTTTCGCGCCAAAACAAAACAAGTGAAGAAACACGAAGAAGTTCAACGGGAACCTCCAAAAATGTCCACCGTCTTCATCGCCGTTCAATGCTTCCAATGCTCAACCATGCAGGCATCAATTTCTCTCATTATAAACACGCGCAAGTAAATCAATGTCGATTTCTGAATGCTGTTCATTTTGATTTTTTGACAGGTGAAGCAGAGGAAGAAAAGTAGCAACAAATGGAGCTGCGTAATCTGCAACGAGAAACAGTCGGTTCGGAAGGTGTTTTCCCAGGGATTCATGGCTAAAGATGTTCGAAAATTCGTACAGAGCTTTAACATGTCACGACAATTCGTCGAACAACAGCAGGAGCTGCCAGAAGAAGCCCTCGTTCAAGAACAAATTGAGACTCAGCCGAATAGAAAGCGCACCGATTGGAGTGAGTACATCGACTCTGACATCAACGATGTTGGAGTCTCTGATGATGAAGGTTAGTTCTCCCTTGAGATTTGCTCAATTATATGGATCATAAGCCCTAGATCTGCAGAATCTTATACTCATTCAGTTAACAAAATAATTGCTGAACTTTGATTTTCGAATTCAAACCCAAATTTAAAAGAGAAATCAAAACCGAGACGCATCATGTAACAATTTCAGAATAAGACAAGATACACCGTTTGGAGCGAGTGAATTGACCCTGACATCAACAGTATTGAAATCGATGATGATCAAGGTGAATCGTTCCTCAAGATTTGTTCAATCATATAGAGTTTCAGTTCCACCAAAAGAGTACCGAATTTCGAATTCAAACCTAGTTTTTTCCCATATGCACAATCATTTGGATTATGTTACAAATCTGAAACCACACATTTCCAGTTGCATAATGTGTTGCCAATTGTAAAGTGATCATCAATTCTTTGTCCTAGAATTAGAATTTTTATCAATTTAGACATTGAAGATTAGCGCTTTTTGACTTTTAACTTCTATTGGAATCGAGGGACTATCAATAATAACCTGCATATAATTGATTATGAATTGAATTGAATTGAATTTACAGGGGATTTGTGTGAACCAAATGTGGTAACGGAGCTGCCAAAACCTTTGTTTAAGAAGCCAAAATTGAGTTATAATTACTCTGAGGCTGGATTAGATAGTGAAGATGGTGAAAGACTTCGGAAGCCAGTTTTTGGGAAGAGAATCACCAAGAGGAAAATTAACAATCCAGGTTAAACAAGATTCCGTCTTCCTTCAAGTACCTCATTTTTAGTTCATCTTGAGTTCTTAATCCAATAATGGCAATGCCCAATATTTTGATTACTTCTTACATTCCAAACAGTTGATAGTTGGTTTATACTCCCTCAAATGTTCCAACTGTTGCTGTACTAATTTTATCTTTTTGCAGATAAGGAGCCAAGAATAACTAAAAGGGTCGGTGAATATAAACTTAATCATGAGTATGTGGATAAAGAGATGGGAGGATCTTCGAAATGGAGAGAGAACTCCAAAATCCAACGTGATGATAACGTTAACGATGGCTCTGCATACGAAAGATCAAGTTCAATGATGACTAAAGTCAGGAGGCCAATTTCAGAGCGGAATGCATGCCAAAATGATGGCGATAATGTTGATCATGGTTTCACATACACTGGATCAAGTTCAGTGATGACAAAACTGAAGAAACCAGTTTCTAAATGGAATGAGTTCATTGATGATGGTGATGAGTTGCAGCTTGAAAGCAGATGTCAAGAGATCAATCATGGTGCATTTGAGACAAAGGTAAGTGATGAGATTGTAGAAGATGATGTCCATCCTGATTTCTTGTGAACTTAGTCCTGATTCATATTAAACCTTTTTCATCATTTTGGCAATGACATCGAGTCACTGTTTGTTTGATCACATAAGTCCACCGTCAAAGGAGATTTGATAATAACCAGGAGTCGAATAAACTCTACAACTTTCTGGTCTGAGCTGATAATCATGCATGAGGCACCTGTAGAGTCTGAACATTCACTAAATTGGGTTCTGTCTTTCATCATTCCCCAACAAAGTAAGCATCGATTTTGAATATATCTGTATCATGTTGAATTTTACTCAAATTTGGGCTCCCGTGTCCTCCATACCAAGCGCATGCTCGAGAATCCTGTATCATGTTACCATCCATCCATTTCCACTTCGTTTCAACTTGAGTGATTTTGTATTTGAAGATTTGGGCCTATTTTCACTTTTCACAACATATCAATATCGAAACTAAATTAGTTTAGTTTTGCTCAATTTACAAGATTCCTATATTTTATCTTGTAAACAAGCAAAACCCACAATCACATTTTTAATACACCAACTAAACATAGCTCATAAAATGACAAGGTTAGGTGACTTCAGTGAATATGACCACCTAAATGTTCCATGTAGGCGTTGAAGTTGATATAAACACCCTACAATGGCCTACAGACAATTTTGACTTAAACATAAAGCTCTTTATTGTTATAACTTTCATATATTAACTATTAATAAAAGCATACATAATCCAGATTGTTCACAAGATCATTGAGAAAAGAAGCTATTAACAAAGTTGGGGAGCAGGAGTGAACACATTGTGCACCAAAACTAGCACAGAATCGCACTTTTTGTCTCTTGGTGTCACCAACGTACCTTGCATTGCAACTAGAAACTAAAATGCTTGATAGCCTGAATATTTAAGGAAGCTTAACAGATTCAGATGAAGTTTCGAATATCCAGGGACTTCACATCCACCATCTCCTCATCCTTGAACTCCTCCCTGAAAAAAATGAGGGAGACCACATCACTCAAAATTTAAAGGTTTGCGGAAAGTGTTTGCCCAACTGTCAAAGCATCTAAGGGGCCGTTTACTGATAACTCGATAAGCGACTAAGCGCTTACCGGGGGTATCACTAATCTTACCGGTGAGCATGGCAACCACTGCTAATTTTACCCGGTAAGGGCTTACCTGGTAAAAGATGCTTACCAACAATCCATTTTAATGGCTGAGAATGTTATCTAACAAGGTAAGTGAGAAGGGTGACTCTTGGTGGTAAGCGCTTACCCCTAAGACGCCCTATAAGAGATAAAAATGAATGAATCTTGCAGATGCAAATCAATGTCAATGGTCACTTGTAAAGACAATAAGGGGCAAAAAGATAGTCATTCAAAGAAAGAAATAGGACAGTTTTTTATACGAAAATTGCAGCAGTTCCCAGTTTTGAAATGGGCGACGAAAATTACAATGTTTCCCTTCTTGGTATGTTTTTAAAACTGGATTTAGGTACTTATTCATTGTGATCCCTGTATAGAATTCTAGACTGATTTAGGTCCAGTAGAATTCCCTATTTCATGTTTATTTAAGGGTATTTTTGAGACTTGTGTCATAATCAAACATCCCAAAAAGACGTTGCAGTTTCCACGCATCAAAGGGAGTACAAGATATACCTTATCTTCTGTGTACGCATTGCTTCGTGAGCATCTTTCTTCAGTTCTTCGAGTTGCGCTTTTGCAATTTTTAGCTCCAATTGTTCTTCATACTTGGGCAAGTCTTCCTTGCGGATGCCAAGCCTACAAATATCATATAGAAATACCACAAATTGCTAATTGCGATTTAGCGATGGTTAACGAACTTTAATTTAAAATGAACAGGAGATGAGAATTATATTTGACCACCTAGCATCAGATAAGTAGCTTTTCAATGTTAAAATTGATAAAATTGCATCGATGCAAAGAAGAAAATTCATAAACCAAACTAAACTATTTACAAATGTTATAAAATATGCAAATGAGCTTACTTCTGATTTATTTTGTCAAACTCTGTCATCAGGAGAGCCATCCCCTTCTTGTCATTTCTCATAAGTGGCTTCTTAAGTTCTTTCTCAATTTTCAAAAGTGCATCCATCATCATAGCTTCTGCACCTAGTTCATCTGTAAGGCCTCTCCTGGAATAAGGTTTATTTGCCACAAAAAAAGGATAAACAACTAGGATCAAAATATTCTCCCAACTGCATCAACAAAATGGAAGGAACGCCGGCCCAGTGGTACCTGGCCTACCGGTTGAGCCCAACCTCTAGAAGGTCAAAGGTTCAAAAGTCACCATAGGTGAGGAGTGCATTGAGTATTTGCCATATATAAATATTATATACTTCAGAAAGGTAAAATGGAAGGAACAGTTGATAGCAAGTAGGACTATATCTAATTTACCAAATGGTAAGGAATGAAGAATATTTACTTGAGACGTATCTCCTTCAAAGCCAGCAGATAAGACCGGGCATCCTTGATTCCCTCGGTACGTGTCTTGATGGTGTACTGGATTCTTTGAGACTCTGAGAACAGATCTGCCCTGTAGGCATGGCATGACAATTTTTAATACAAGTTACACGAAAAGATAATTGAGGTTGATGATGCTATCCATAAACAGTATGTTTTCCATCATTGGATGCATCCACATACTCATACTCATAATCAGAGAGAGAGATCACAAGAAAATGTCACAAAAATAGCACGAGATCAAGAGCCCACCAAAATACTCAGCCGTATATCCGGAGTCATTAGAGAGAGACTAGAGAGAAATTTATTAAATTCAATATTTTTTCTAAGTTCTAACCTTATATATGCACACACACATTGGGGATAACCGTGAAGCTTACTTTTCTCTTACAGTCTTTATGACCTTTGCATACTGAGCAACAGCTGCCGGATCTTCAGGATCAATTGTAATTTTCTCTTTCCGGAGAATCCCGATTGCTGTCTCAAATTTCTTCTTCACATCAAAGAAAATCCCTTTCAACATATCTTCAAAAGCATGTGCGAACATCGCATTAGTATAATCATAAAAGCATAATTTAGCATTTCAAATAATAAAGAAGTTACTTCATCAACTATCCTACCACATACTTCCTTTTTTTTTTTTAATTAACCTGGATAACCAACCCGCTACGCGAGCCGACTAATCCCAGGGCGACCACCTGCTTTGCAGATAGCCCGGAGTCACTGTATTTGAACCTCCATGGCCACAAGGGGATTTTTATTCCTCCTTGGATTTGAACCTGGGACCTCCTGGTAAATTTGACCTTTGGAGCCAAGCTCAAACCAATCAGGCACCACCCTTGTGGTTACTTCCTTTCTGTAATACTCCAGACAGAAACAACACTGATCAATACACACTACCGTTTGTTACGCTCAAGTTAGATCTGCAGTTTGTTATATTCAAGAATGATGGCAAACGTTGTCTAAACCAAACCCATTATATCCTACCTGGAGGCAGGGTAAGGGAGGGGTAGGTTGTATCCGGACCTTAGCTCTGTGTCAAGAGACAAAGAGGCTGTTTCCGATAAGAACCCTCGTTTGGGAAGGTTAAGTAAAGTCACAAACCTAAGTAGGAAAACAGTGTGCAACTGTATCACTAGACTACTGATAATATAATACCGCCAACCTTCACTCAGCCACAGTTGAATATTTATTTTTTATTGAGTGTTGCTTTGGTGCATTAATGATTCTTCTAATTTAACTGAAAACAGCTACATCTTGGAAGACACAGGCAACAGATGGAACACCATCGTTTTATTATAAAATGCTTGTCAAATCATGATTTATTTATGCAAACTTTTCTTTTGTTGGATATTATCAATGTCAACATGCAGAAGCACCACATATTTCTAGCCTCTAGGGCAAACACTAGGATTTTAAGGACAGTTATTTAAGGTGCAAGAACAAGTCAGGTGAACATCTTAGCTACTGATCTTATAATATGCATACTTACTAATGGAAGTAGTATTTTTGGGGGGTTATTCCAAAATTTAAGGTTTAATACAAAATTTAAATTGGCCATACGTGTAATGAGACACCAAATCGAGGGTTGCAGCCATCATAATATTGGGGTATGTTTTGAAGAGAAAAGGGAGACAAGCGTATGAGAAAGTAGGGTTCAGATTGCACTATCATTATGGCTATAGTGTGTTCTCTCACTTACAAGAAAGAATCAGAAAAGGAAGAACGGAGTGAGAGACAAAACCATGGAATCGAGTTACGTGATAATCAGGATGGCTAAGTTCAATTTAAATTCCTGACCTGGTGGTTGCTCTACCATTACTTTGACAGCAAGGTAGACACCCTTGACCCTTCTGGTTTTTCTTCTCATACATTTCCAACATTTAGCCAATTTGTCATTTTCCTTTATGTTGAAGACAAACTAAAACAAAATATTCTTTCTCTCATTGTCTACATAACTAGAGGGGTGTAATGAGTAGGGGGTCTCTTGTGCAAAGAGATGAATTCTTTTTTCCTACATTCTATCGATCATGGGACAATTACTTATATGCATATAGATATGCAACTGTATCACAGTTTCTAAGATATGCCAAGTTCCAATAGCTTATATTGTGCACTCGTATTAATGCTACTTTACTTACTGGCTCACAAATAGAAGATGAAGAAGGCTCTTATATGCCCATCTCCTCCCACAGTCTGTGGCACCACCCAAACTGATTTTTTAAGCATCAGATAAACTAAAACAAAAGCAAGGCATGACCATGTACAGCTTTAATTAATTTGAATGATGTATCGTCCCTCCCTTTCTCCAGTTACATGATTTAGATCTGTAGTATCCAGTTCCCTCACATATTCTTTATACTCTGATTTGAAACTTGAATTTAATGCACATGGATATTTTTTTTGCCACTGTTCATTTGATAAACTTACATGTGTTCCAACAAACAAAAACTCACATATGCTGCAAGCTTGCAACCACTTGGAAATAGAAAATTAAGCTCAACTACATGTGTACAGTCACAACTCACAACCAGAAATCTGAATGGATGACGGAATATCAGTTCTTGGAATCACCATGCTTCAAGAAAACAATGTCATCTAGAAAATGATGCAGAGTTCCCAGAGCATAAATAAATTTTTTTTACCAAAATGTTGGGGGACAAGCAGTAATATTCCCAAATCTCAACCGAATCTCCAATATTGCATAATGGCAACCGAGCTGACACAAGAGTTTGAAACGCTTTTTTTTTTTTTTTTACCTTTTTCTTCTCAATCATTGCTTTATTTTGAAAGTAATATTTTCACCACTTCTTAGGTAAATAATGGTATTTCGAAAGCATTCTATGAATCATGTCAAAACAAGAACTAGAAACTCATAGGATATATTGCAGAGAGCCTGCAATAGTTCTCTTCGATGCCTTTAAAGGCCTAAAAATCAACACATTGACTTTAAATACCAAAAGGGCAACCACTGGCCTGTAGAATCTGCAGATCCTGAACTAGCACATCTACAAGTTTCAGAAAGAGATATATGTCTACATCAACTCACCATCGCCCTTTAGCGCTTTGGGAGAAGCTTCTTTGGCATAGAAGCGAACTGAGACAGCATGATGCTGTGGTTGCAGTGTCGATTGACTACTATATATCTGCATAACCACAAAATCCATAAATTCAACTGCTAAAAGTAGACAGTCTTGATATTGAGTGCATTTCTAGAATAGAATTTAAAAAATTAATAAACTATTCTTTCTAACTCAATATCATACTACGCTACAAAGTAGCAGCCTATTCGGGAGGAGGCCAGTCGAGAAGGGGATAACTTTTAAATCGATAAGGCAGTCCACCATGGAATTCAAACATGCATCAAAAGTCAATATACACACACATTTTCTTTACAACAGAGCAGCTAAACGTAAACAAAAAAATCTCTACTTCAGGAGCAGTCGGAGGTGCCATCAACTCATGCAACCACTTATAATGTTGTAATTCTTACTATCATTTGTTAACTGTATAACAAGACTTTATACATCATACATATTTAAACATTTTCCAAGGTACATTGTTGTTATCACAAGTCTGTAACTATGCAATCTCAGAGTTTTACAATCTTTTTGCAGGTTTATATGGGACAGGAAGGGTTAGGGAGGGGGTGTTAACAGGGGGAAACATACAGCAACCTCCAATCCCACCACAGAAGAATACTCTAATTTTACCTAATTCAACCATGAATGCTGATTAGCGTGACCACGTAAATTAATCTAAACACATAAATTCAGTAATCAAGCATCCGTAAACTGAGTTGCATCCACGACATCCCATCAAAAGTAAAAAAGCACACACAAAGCAATAGAATCAAAATCAAGCAAGCGGAATCGAAAATGGCGATAAATAACGTAGAAATCGGAGTCTAAAATTACTTTGATACAAGAAATGAGCGATAGATACCTGACGAGTGGATCTCGATAGTATTCGAGCCATTGGAGCGGTGGAGATTGGTGTGGATTCAGACGATCAGTAGTGATCAGCTGTTGTCTGACCGAAAAATATGACAAATCAGGTGCTTCTGTAATATTACCCTCATGATGCGACTCGAAACGACACCGTCTGAGATATTCTAAATCAGGATATAACAAAAATGGAAATTTTGAGGGTTTTTTTTCTCTAATAAGATTCTTTAAAATTCATATAAATATTTTAATAAAATAAATAGAGAAGCTGATTGAATATAATATTTTTTTTGATTTTTACTTTTTTTTTATTTTATAGAAATTTTAAAAAATCTGTTAAAAAATGCTCTGATATAAATTTATTTTCTATAGATCTTGATCCATTGTCACTTTGGACCTCGTCGTTTTTAGTCCTAGATTGATACGTTAATCTAAATTGTCATTTATGGGTTGTTTGTTTACCTCTTAATAGTTTCATTAAGAGAGTCTCTTAACCGTTAAGAGGTGAATCTTGTTTGGCAAAAAAAATGGTATGCCTCTTAATGGTTCTAAAACCTCTGAATGATTTTGTATTATGGGTCCCCCTTAATCATTCAGAGCCCTAATTTCGTTAAAAATAATTAGCAGACAATTGTATTTCATTTTGCACTATATCATGAGAGCCTCTTAATCATTCTGCACCAAACCATTCAAATTGATACGCTAATCTAAATTATGATTTAGTTGTTGAATTTGTTTGTTTTATGTTTTCTCTCTTGACTAAAGCGATTATTCTCGACAAAAAGCTATTGATACAACAATATTATATTACTACCAAAGGGTCTTTAGCCTAGTGATATTTTAGTATTTAGCCTCTTAGGAGGTCAAGATTCAAACTTCACTAAAGATGAAGAGGGTGTCTGAGTTTATTTGTTATGTTACATAAATATTATATACTAAAAAAACAATATTAGATTATGGAGAAAACCTTTAAATATTTGATACATATAAAAACCATATACTTTCAAAAGAGACCCCTCTCTTTGGTAGTCGATTGGATGCTCAAAGTCAAATCCGGTTTAATTTTGCACCCATCCCATAATCTCCTCATTTATTATTTTTTAGAAAGATAACAATTTATTAAAATAATCAAAAAGAACAAAACCAAAAAACAACAGAAACAAACGAAAGAGATCAGATTGTAAAAATCTAATCAAAGGGTTGAAAATTGGTATTACGGATTTCACGAAAAACCCTTGGTTTCACATGATCCCAGTATATATATATATATATATATATATATATATATATATATATATAGGGGTGAGTTCAAATAAAAACCACTCAATTTGTAAAAACCGTGAAAATCTCATTCAACC